GGAAAACTGCGTTTCTTTTTTATCGAACTTTTATCGACCCTCTTTTTTTCTATTGCGCCACACGTCTATCGATAGATATATATCGTTACTGAATTATCGCCCAGCCCTAACCAACAATGCCAGATAATGATTTTAAAACTCTAAATACATATTAGACCAAATAAATAAAAAAAGAATCTGCTTTTTATTGTGTCTGACGGTGTTGACAAAAACAAAGTAATAACTTGAAAAATGCATATTTTATGAAAAAAATAGAAAGTTGCACCGGTACATTGCTGAACAGCCAAGACCTTGGTCTATAACAACAGACAGCTGTGGAGTAAAAATGAGCACTGAGAGTTGATATGCAAGGAAGAAAAGGTTTTATTTAACTCTGCAGAGGAGAACGACACAAACAGCTGAATACAGCTCTCAGTGTGATTCTGACTAGGTCGCTGCCCATCCTTTGCATTTATAGAGAATTCTGTCACACGAACATTGAGTCTTCCCAACAGAAACACTTCATCAAAGGACATAGATATATGTTCAGATAAACATTTCAGACAACTGTTTTCCGTTCACACCAGAGACAGGACGTGAGGATCTTAAACACAATAAGGACCTGTTTATCTATGTTTCCCTCTTATCTAAACTAGGGAGGAAACTCCTTTTCAAACCTCCTTCCTTTCCCTACATCTCAGCATAAAGAATGGAACAATAGCTTCTAACTAATCACCCCTATTCAGAAAGAAAAACCGGCACACTTTAATATTTAACCTCACTAACATCCAAGGAAAAAACCACAAACCACACAGCATAAAGGAGCGGTCAGATGGTTAAAGCTGATGTGTGGAAAAAACATTTTCTGAGTTATCAATTTCCTGATGGTGTCCTGTAGAGAGGAACAACAATGCGTGTGGGTTCTACAAAATAAAATCGGAGGTTATTAGGGATTAGGCTGGGTGATAGGTGATAAAAGCTATGGCAGGCTGTTTTAACATTTATTAAAATCACTCCTCTGTGTCTTTCCATTTGTAGATGACTAAAATAAGATTCTTCCTCAACAAATGACACTCCTAGACTGAAATGTAATACTACATTTTCTAAATTACATTTGTAGCAGAAACTGAATTTTAGGAAGTAAAACATAAAACAAAATTATACTAGAAAGAGTTATGTTGTATATCTAGAAAGGTTTACACATTTTAATTGGCTGTTTTGGCTGAATATGTATTTATGATATCTGAATTACATTTCTTCATAGTCAAAATAATACAAATGATGGATTAATTTCTAGACATCCAAAATGTCTATTCTAGATGCGTTGAATAACAATTTGTTTGAGATGTTCATTTAGACAAAGAAAGTTTTATTATTTTCAGATATGAGGAATAAATATTGAGTAATAATTAGGTCTGTCACGATAACAAATTTTGCTGAACAATTAATTGTCTCAAAAATTATTGCGATAAACGATAATATTGTTTGAAGACCATTTAACACTGATTTAATTGAAATGAAGTAATAATGCATGCGATTTCTCAGTCTCTGTTAACTAAAAATACACTTGAATAAAAACTAAACACAAATAAAACTACAGTTGAAATAATAACGTATGTACAACATATCACATTTGTGATATGCATGTTTTCCTCAGGAGTTCATTCTGTCTATCAAATGTCTGCAACATTTTTCCAAATGCTGGCTTTTCAACAATATTAAGTGGCAGCATCTCTTTAGCAATTACATGAACTACGCTGTCTGTGAGCGAGCGCCACTTTGCGGCGTCCTTTTTATATGCTGCCTGTTGATTAATTGCTTCAGTGATGGAGGACTGTCGCGAACTGGAAGATGCAGGCGGGCCACCGAAATACTCCCACACTGCGGCTGTTGTGCTCAACTTTGAAACCAGTTCCATTTCGAGCTTTCCCCCCCAACATAGGATGTGTTTTTTTTTTACCTCGCTAACTCCTCGAACAGCACTAAAGCTGCAGAAGTACAAAATGATGCGCTCTGACTACCTGATGTGATATTCCACTCCTCCTCACTCCTCATTTTAGGAAGGGGAGGGGTCAGTGGATACTACCGGAGTTAAGCCTTTTCATCCAGCGTCATCAATAGAAAGAGAAAAACACAGGCACTGACGATATAGCCGATAAAATAAATGACGTGGATAGTTTTTATTTATCGTGCGATTAATTAATTTATTGATTATCGCGACAGGCCTAGTAATAATACATTTCAAAATGGCTTGCCATAGCGGTAGTTACTGCAATAATATTAAGGGATTATTACTTGAATTGGAAGTGGATTAATGTACCTATTTAAGTGAAATCGTTTGGCAGCAGGTGAGGATGGAGAATAAAAATGTTCTAATAGATGGAACCTCATCATCTTTTACACGGTAAATACTGTCTATTTGCAGCCACTTCAGATGTTATCGTACCAATAAATGGTCGTTATTAGCGGCTATCAGACTTCAGGCTGAGCCAGTAGGCTCATTATCATCGAGTGAATCCTAATCCTAACCCTAAAGTAATTCCTTTTTCCCCAGGGAATTAATCTATTTCTGTGGAATCTGAAAATGATTTCATTAGTTCTTCATGTAATGTAAAAAATAAAAGATTATCCAGATGTCGCTGATATTAAACAAACCAAAAACACATAAATCTCATTTCCTGTCACCTGAGTTGTTTGTCTCCGTACAAATATTTAATTCTCTGTGAAAAAGTGCACAGATAAGACGGTACCATCAGGTTTGCTTTGTCAGAGTCAGCAGCAGAATAACAGTTAAAGAATCATTTTATAGAACTACAGCATCACAGCCTGCCATATCATCACATCATAACGTCTGTAAATGAGGAGACATCCCTGCTACAATACAGGTATTTGATTCGCTGTAATAATACAGCGAATCAAATACCTTTGATCAGCTGTGGTTGTTTTTAAGTGCTGCTGTAACTCCACTATTTCCCCACAGTGGGCCAACAAAGGGAGCTTCTATTCTATGTAGTGTATATCTGCTGTTTATTTAGTAATGTCTTCCAAAGCTCTGATGCCTTCATGAAGTTCTCCCTCCAGCCCTGATGTCAACAGTCTGTTAATTTAAACTAAACTCCGCTGCAGTGCTGAGGCATCCTTCTACTGTTCTGCTTAAAGCAGCAGGTTAGGGCAGCAGGATGACCTCCCCAAGATGGCGCCCGTAATGTCTGCGCAGAGACAGTCAATGCGGGGTCTACTCTAATATTATCTCTATGGTAGAGAGGGCTTTCTGTGATTGCAGTGAACTCGGAGCGAAGAAGAGGTTTAACCGGAGAAAATGACTAACTTAACCGCAGTCATTAAAACCCAATGCTGGAAGTGAGCGAGCTGACCGCAGTAAGATGGCCGCTGACTGGTAGTTATATTTAGCTTAGCATGTTGATCTCCTCTAAGCAGTTTTCCAATCAGATGAGGCTAAAATCCAGTGTGCATCATCAGGGAATCGTTTCTATCAGGTGTTTCCTACCTATCCGGTGTAAGATGATCTGGGGGATCCTGGTGAAATCCAGCAGTAGATGTTGATCGTCCATCTTTTCCTCCGAATTGACCAAACTCCCTTTAAACTCCGTGAATGTTTCTTCAGCAGGAGTTAACTGCTCGGTGATAAACTCTCCTTGAAGCTGGACTGAAGACATTCTCACTGCAAACACTCCCAGATTATCAGCCTCTCTACAATGACTCCACACACAAGCTAAGCTAATGCTGCTAATGCTACCCGATCACTACCAGCAGCTCATTGCGCATGCGCACCTACATCTACATCCGGGTAACCCTCCATGTAAATTTGTAGTTGTTTTTTTAAACTTTATTTAACCTCTTTACGTTCATTAGGTGCCAGCACAGAACGGCATTAACAGCATTCACAGGAAGTTTATATCTTCATATAGAATAAAACCAACGATAAAAGGAGAGGGGACAATAATTTAGATAATAAAATAACAATAAAAGAGCTGTATTATACATAGAACCAAGAACAGTGCTTTAAACCAGCAGATTAAATTTACTCACAAAACAAAGAAAATTACCAGCATTTTTGGTTCTTACAAATTCTAAAGATGTTTGTCAGATTGTTCCAATGGGATATAAATGGTTTATATTTGAAGAAACGGCATCAGTGGAAATACATTTTATTAACAAAATTAAAATATTAACACCAACTTAATCACCTCCATTTTTCTTAACTATACCAGATAACAATCATCTCAAGGTAAAAGGACTAAAGTAGAATAAAAGAAAAGCTGTTGCAGACTTTCATTTTCAACCTCACAGAAACCACAGTTTCAGTCAAATAACACCTTAAAAATTCATTGTTACATTGAGGGCAGAAAAAATTAACATTATTAAGAATTGTTTGAGTTTTGGAGAAATATCAGACAATTTGATATCTTGTCTAACAATAGCCTGTAGAGGTAAAGAGAATGCTGTTAAAATCTGATTAAATTTACTCTGAGTACAGTGGGTTTTATACGTTTCACAAAACTCCTGAAAAAGTAACAGGTTACCCCTGTTGTCTATGAAATGAGAAACAGATTCCTTTTTTATACCATTTGTCCATAAAAATAGATTTTTTATTACTAGAATGTATCTATTATTAGTTTCCATTTAAGAAGAACCTGTTTATTAAAATCAAATAATTTAAGTGGTAATTTATTTATCTCAAAATCACATTATAAAAGGAATTGAATTCTCCTTATTTTCTTAACACTAAATTGCGTATGTATAACTGTAACTGAGTTAATTAGATTATTTTATTTGATGAACCTTCTCAAAACACCTTTTTTTGATTAATATACATGTTTGTGGTTATTTCTGTTTTATACTGCTTTTATTTAAAATTATTTATGTTTCAAACTCATTTTTCTTTGTTTTTCTTGGGTTCTGTATGATATTTTATTTTGGAGGAGAAGCTTTTATTTTTTTCGCTTCCGGTGTCCGTGTCATATCCTCTGTATCCCCGCTGCCCTCCTCAGTTCGCGCTAAGCTGCGCTGAGGAGAGGTAAGTGTATAGAATGGTCTTCTGTTTGTATATTAAATTGTTCTAATATCCTGAAAAGTATTTCTTCCTAGCTCATAATTCGTAAATATATTGTTGATTAGCTGTTTTGTGCAGCACAGTACTGGCAGTTACATTCCCACAGCAGTAACTTTTGTTGAGGTTACTGTGGCAACATGGTTATTTCTGTTATTTTGGTTTGTTAAGGTGCATGTGGGAAACTGGAGCCCAGAGTTGCTGTGCTGAATATGTTCTTGTTCTAAACAGGTATGTGAGTAATTCAAAATGTTATTTGGATGTCAAATTTATTTATTTAGTATATTTTTTATATTATATCGGAGAATTGTAATGATTGGGGAGATTATTTTTGTTTGGGTTTTATTTTGTTTTGTATGCAGATTTTACATAATTATCATTTAATTATTATAAATGAGAAATATTATTTTTATTATTATTATTATAATTAATTCATTTTATTATTATTTAACCTCTGTGAGAATTTTGGTTTGTTTTAATGCATTTTGAGTTCGCGCCAAGCTGCGCTGAGGAGAGGTGCATGTGGGAAACTGGAGCCCAGAGTTGCTGTGCTGAATATGTTCTTGTTCTAAACAGAAATAAACCGAAGCAAGTCTGATCTCTTCGACTCTTCATTCCACGACTGTTACATCTGGTGCCGTGACCCGGATCCATTGGTTAGCCGCTGCCGACCGCCGAGGGTTCAGCTGTGTGCCAGTGACGCTGATGTCATCAAGTTGGTCGGCCTGTGGATCCTGCTCATTGTTGTTGAGGTTGCGATCACTTTTCTGAACACAGAGACTTAAGACATATATCAAACCACTATATTAGTTAGATTAAAGCCATTTTTTGTGTATGTGAATAGTGAAACTATTTTGGTTTAATTTTTTTTATTACTGCTTTTTTACTGTGTGCAGTATGGCAGGCAGAGGTCATAGTACCTTTAATGTTTTCACACCAGTAGTTGGGCGTGGCAGAGGGCTGTTAGCCCAGAGTAGTACTCACGTGATTGATGAGGGGTCATCAGAAACAGAAGAGATTATTGAAATACCTCCATTAGAGCCCCAGTTTTCCACCCCTGTAAATAATAATGAAAACACCATACGACAGTTACGCGACCTCATTGGTGAGATAGGGAGCCAAATAGGTGAGGCCATTACCAGCCGTCTGTTAGACAGCGGATCTCATGTTACTCCAGAGAAGCCTCCACCATCACAGTCTGCACGGAGTGAAACATCTAACACAGTGTTTGATCTCTCAAAAATGAGCCTGGTGGTGAAATCAGACATTAAAGAGCCTCCTATCTATCGTGGTGATGGTGATGATAGGATCTCTGTTCATGAGTGGATAGAAATAATGGAGGTCTACCTGCGCAAAAAGGGATTCCCAGCTGAGAAAAAAACTGATGAAATCCTGAACCACCTGCTTGGCAAGGCAAAAAGCATTGTTAAGATCGGATTAAAGAGTGCTCCTTCCACCACACCTGTAAACCCTGAGGCAGTTTATAGCATTCTGAGGCGCTATTTTAGCGACATTCCTGGATCTTGCTTACCACTGGCTGATTTTTATGCTACTCAGCCGATGGCTAATGAGACACCAGTAGACTACTGGGTTAGACTTAACACAGCTGCTGAAAACGCTGACAAACACTTGAAAGATCAAGGAAGCAGCCTGAATAAAATGGATACAGAGATAGCAATGATGTTCATCAGAAATTGTCCTGATTCTAGTCTCGCCTGTGTTTTCAAGTGTAAGCCCACCACTAAGTGGACATTCACTGAGGTGCAAGAGGCCATTGATGAGCATCAACGAGAGCAGCAAGTGAAGAGACCACACGCAACTGCCCCAAAAGCAAAAACACTCCAGATTGCCACTGCAGTAGCAGCACCTGACCACTCAGAGCTTGAAGTAGAATGTAGGCAAATGAACACTGCCAAAATTACTCCTATCAGTTCTACCAGCCCAAATGATCGCACCGCAGAGTCAGGTGCTCTTGAACGGATGTTAACTATGCTTGAAAGAGTATTAGAACGCACTGCCCAGCCTGTTGGCGATACTCAGCCTCAGTTCTTCCCTTCCAGTCGACCGACTCCATGTCAGGTATGTGGCAACAGTAACCACTCTACACGGACACACTGCATGAGAGAGAGAAGATGCCTGGCCTGTCTCGAGATTGGACATCAGCGAAGAAGCTGTCCAAAATTCCCTAACACTCAGCGAGTTGGAGGCTCTATTGACCAGGGAAACTAAACCACTCACACTTGAGAGGGCACTGTGTGAGTGAGTATGATGAGTCCCTCACCCCAACAGAAGACATAAAGGTTGTGTGTACAGAAAGTTTGAAATCTGCTCCAGCCAACACCCATGTGTTGTTTCAAAACATATCCAGACTAGAAAAGGCTGACAGCCTCTTTTACACTGATGCACAGGTTGGGGATAAGGTGTCTTTGCAAGCTCTTTTAGACACTGGCTCCATGGCCTGCACTATCAGCGTAGAAGCTGAGCAACTTCTTGAGAATGCAGGGCTTACATCCCAGCCTGATTGTGATCGTAATGACATTATTCTTGTAGGCTGTGGAGGAGTTCAAGTAAAGCCCAAATGCATCCATGAATTAAAAATGGAAGTATATGGATGTTCATTTATTGTTCCAGCTTTAGTGGTGCCTGGGCAGAAAGATCAGCTGATTTTGGGCACAAATGTCATCAAACACCTCCTAAACCAGTTCAAACATTCTCCTCACTTTTGGCAAGTTATGAGTAAACCAGAGTCTGCCCAAACACCAGAAGTCATAAAGTTTCTTAGTATGCTGTCTGGCACTGAAAGATGGAGAGGTGATGTGATCCCAGATTTTATTGGGACAGCTGAACTGGTGCAGGCAGTCACTCTTCTCCCAAAGCAAGAACATTTGATTTGGAGCAGACTCCCTAAAAACTCGCCTCTCTCCGAGGGCAGTGCCATTCTAGTTGAACCATCACCCAAAACACAGATGCATAAAAAAGACATTATTGTCTGTAGATCAGTGTCCTCCATGAATGGTGATAGGTGGGTCCCAGTGCGCATTCTAAACACCTCTGATAAGGCCATCATATTAAAACGCCATACCAAAGTAGCGGAGGTGTCCACCTGTATAGCCCTTGAAGATATGGATGTGATCCCTGAGCAGGTGCTAGATAAAAAATTCAGTACCAACAATCAGACAGTGAAAGATGACAAAACAATCAGCTCAGATTCTCTCTGCACCAGCTTCCGTGACACTCTGAGTAACTTGGGGTTAGAAGATCTGGACATTGACTCTTGTGAGGTGGGTGATTACTGGAAGTCAAAACTGTTGCAGTTGGTCCAGAAATATGAAGGCATTTTTTCAAGAAGCAAACTTGATTGTGGGCTGGCCAAAGATTTTGTCCACTGCATCCGCCTCTCAGATAATCGACCATTTAGGCTTCCATATCGACGTGTTCCACCAGGGCAGTACCACAAGCTGCGACAAGTTCTCACAGAGATGGAAGAACGGGAAATCATTCGCAAATCTAACAGTGAGTGGGCGTCTCCTGTAGTGCTGGTCTGGAAGAGGAATGGAGATCTTAGGATCTGTGTGGACTATCGTTGGCTAAATGCTCGTACAGTTAAGGACGCTCACCCGTTGCCACACCAGTCAGACTGTTTGACGGCTTTGGGTGGCAGTGCCATATTCTGTGCCATGGACCTCACTTCTGGTTTTTATAACATAGCCATGGCTGAAGATGATAAAAAACTAACAGCCTTCACCACACCCATGGGGTTGTATGAGTTTAACAGGCTGCCTCAGGGCCTCTGTAATAGTCCTGCCAACTTCATGCGCCTCATGATGAACATCTTTGGGGATCAGAACTTTTTGACCCTGCTTTGTTATTTGGACGATTTGCTTGTTTATGCTCCCGATGAGGCAGAAGCTCTGAGGAGGCTCGAGATTGTCTTCCACAGGCTGCAGGTCCATGGCTTGAAACTAGCCCCCAAGAAATGCCATCTATTAAGAAAGAGTGTGAAGTTTTTGGGCCATGTTGTGAGTGAAAAAGGTGTGTCAACTGATCCTGAAAAAGTACAAGCTGTTGTTGCTATGACTGAGTCTGATTTGATGATGGAGGATGGTGTTACACCCTCACAAAAAAAGATTAAGTCATTTTTGGGGATGGTGATGTACTACCAGCAGTTCATACCAGACTGTTCCCGCATTGCAAAACCATTGTTCACTTTGACTGCCGCACCCAAGGGAATGAAAGTCAATGGACGGGGCGCAGCAGCATTTAAGAAATTACATCCAAGTGACTGGAGAGGAGAACATCACTGTGCATTTGAAGAACTAAAGAATGCGCTGCTGGAGACTGTGGTGCTCGCACATCCTGATTTCGGTTGTGTGTAGAGAAAGTTTGAAATCTGCTCCAGCCAACACCCATGTGTTGTTTCAAAACATATCCAGACTAGAAAAGGCTGACAGCCTCTTTTACAGGTGCTGGTCATAAAATTAGAATATCATGAAAAAGTAGATTGATTTCAGTAATTCCATTCAAAAAGTGAAACTTGTATATTATATTCATACATTACATACAAACTCATATATTTCAGATGTTTATTTTGTTTAATTTTGATGATTACAAATGACAACAAATGAAAATCTCAAATTCATCATATCAGAAAATTAGAATATTACTGAAGACCAATAAAAACAAAGGATTTATAGAAATGTTGGCCAACTGAAAAGTATGAGCATGTACAGCACTCAGTATTTAGTTGGGCCTCCTTTGGCCTGTATTACTGCAGCAATGCGGCGTGGCATGGAGTCGATCAGTCTGTGGCACTGCTCAGGTGTTATGATAGCCCAGGTTGCTCTAATAGTGGCTTTTAGCTCTTCTGAATTGTTGGGTCTGGTGTATTGCATCTTCTTCTTCACAATACCCCATAGATTTTCTATGGGGTTAAGGTCAGGAGAGTTTGCTGGCCAATTAAGAACAGGGATACCATGGTCCTTCCACCAGGTACTGGTAGCTTTGGCACTGTGTGCAGGTGCCAAGTCCTGTTGGAAAATGAAATCTGCATCTCCAAAAAGTTGGTCAGCTGCAGGAAGCATGAAGTGCTCTAAAACTTCCTGGTATGTGGCTGCGTTGACCCTGGACCTCAGAAAACACAATGGACCAACACCAGCAGATGACATGGCACCCCAAACCATCACTGACTGTGGAAACTTTACACTGGACTTCAAGCAACGTGGATGAAATGCCTCTCTTCTTTTCCTCCAGACTCTGGGACCTTGATTTCCAAAGGAAATGCAAAATTTACTTTCATCAGAGAACATGACTTTGGACCACTCACCAGCAGTCCAGTCCTGTTTCTCTTTAGACGCTTCTGACGCTGTCTGTGGTTCAAGAGTGGCTTGACACAAGGAATGCGACAGCAGAAACCCATGTCTTTTATACGTCTGTGTGTGGTGGTTCTTGAAGCACTTACTCCAGCTGCAGTCCACTCTTTGTGAATCTCCCCCACATTTTTGAAGGGGTTTTGTTTCACAATCCTCTCCAGGGTGCGGTTATCTCTCTTGCTTGTACACTTTTTTCGACCACATCTTTTCCTTCCCTTCGCCTCTCTATTAATGTGCTTGGACACTGAGCTCTGTGAACAGCCAGCCTCTTTAGCGATGACCTTTTGTGTCTTGCCCTCCTTGTGCAAGGTGTCGATGGTCGTCTTTTGGACAACTGTCAAGTCAGCAGTCTTCCCCATGATTGTGTAGCCTATAGAACTAGACTGAAAGCTCATTTAAAGGCTTTTGCAGGTGGTTTGAGTTAATTAGCTGATTAGAGTGTGGCACCAGGGGCCATCAATTTTGAACCTTTTCACAATATTCTAATTTTCTGATATGATGAATTTGAGATTTTCATTTGTTGTCATTTGTAATCATCAAAATTAAACAAAATAAACATCTGAAATATATGAGTTTGTATGTAATGTATGAATATAATATACAAGTTTCACTTTTTAAATGGAATTACTGAAATCAATCTACTTTTTCATGATATTCTAATTTTATGACCAGCACCTGTACACTGATGCACAGGTTGGGGATAAAGTGTCATTGCAAGCTCTTTTAGACACTGGCTCCATGGCCTGCACTATCAGCGTAGAAGCTGAGCAACTTCTTGAGAATGCAGGGCTTACATCCCAGCCTGATTGTGATCGTAATGACATTATTCTTGTAGGCTGTGGAGGAGTTCAAGTAAAGCCCAAATGCATCCATGAATTAAAAATGGAAGTATATGGATGTTCATTTATTGTTCCAGCTTTAGTGGTGCCTGGGCAGAAAGATCAGCTGATTTTGGGCACAAATGTCATCAAACACCTCCTAAACCAGTTCAAACATTCTCCTCACTTTTGGCAAGTTATGAGTAAACCAGAGTCTGCCCAAACACCAGAAGTCATAAAGTTTCTTAGTATGCTGTCTGGCACTGAAAGATGGAGAGGTGATGTGATCCCAGATTTTATTGGGACAGCTGAACTGGTGCAGGCAGTCACTCTTCTCCCAAAGCAAGAACATTTGATTTGGAGCAGACTCCCTAAAAACTCGCCTCTCTCCGAGGGCAGTGCCATTCTAGTTGAACCATCACCCAAAACACAGATGCATAAAAAAGACATTATTGTCTGTAGATCAGTGTCCTCCATGAATGGTGATAGGTGGGTCCCAGTGCGCATTCTAAACACCTCTGATAAGGCCATCATATTAAAACGCCATACCAAAGTAGCGGAGGTGTCCACCTGTATAGCCCTTGAAGATATGGATGTGATCCCTGAGCAGGTGCTAGATAAAAAATTCAGTACCAACAATCAGACAGTGAAAGATGACAAAACAATCAGCTCAGATTCTCTCTGCACCAGCTTCCGTGACACTCTGAGTAACTTGGGGTTAGAAGATCTGGACATTGACTCTTGTGAGGTGGGTGATTACTGGAAGTCAAAACTGTTGCAGTTGGTCCAGAAATATGAAGGCATTTTTTCAAGAAGCAAACTTGATTGTGGGCTGGCCAAAGATTTTGTCCACTGCATCCGCCTCTCAGATAATCGACCATTTAGGCTTCCATATCGACGTGTTCCACCAGGGCAGTACCACAAGCTGCGACAAGTTCTCACAGAGATGGAAGAACGGGAAATCATTCGCAAATCTAACAGTGAGTGGGCGTCTCCTGTAGTGCTGGTCTGGAAGAGGAATGGAGATCTTAGGATCTGTGTG